CTATCACCAGCCAGGCATACATGTGACCCCACCTACAACACCCACAGCCACCAACCACCACAGAGACCGCACCCAACACATCCACACTTCGTAGCCGACTACCAGTGACACAACCGATCACCTAGCAGACAACAGGAGGACCAACCCCAACCCTACCACAGTACATCAACGCCAAACGACCCACCAGCGACCCGAGACCCAACTTCGACGACCCATCACCAGCCAGCACCACGACAGGAACACAACCCAGACCACCACCAGACACAGGACCCACCGACACCCTCACCACCACCACACGGACAGCGCAGCCAAACCCGCACACCCACCAGCAGCAGACCACCCACTCCACAACCACCTATCGACCACCACCGCCGGCGCGCCCCCCCCCACTAGCAGGTGACCCCAGCCCCAACACCACCACACCCACACCACCACAGAGACCCAACGCCCAACACCCACCACTACCGACTACGCAGTGGACACAGACCCGGAACGCTACAACCACAGGACCCCAACCCAACACCTACCAACACAGCGACAAAACCACACCCACCGCACCCCAGACCAACTTCGGACACATCACCACACCCAGCACGACAGCAACCACCCAACCCCAAACCACCAGCACACAGACCCCAAGTCGACACCATCACTACCCACCACCACTGAAGCGACACCAACCCGCAACAACCCCCACCAGCACACAGGACCCAACCGAAACCCACCATGCACAGAGAACCCAAACCACTCCAACCAAACCACTATCACCACACATACAGTGACCCCAACGCCAACACCACCACTACCATACAGTGACACCAACCGGGAACTAACACAGGAGACCAACCCAACACCACCACACCACTACAGTGACACAACCCGAACTACAACCACAGCGACCCCCAACCAACACTACCAACACAGCGACACACACCAACCCCAACACCCACCAGCACACAGACCCCAACCCCGACACCCATCACCACCACCACCACGACAATGACACCAACCCCAACACCCACCAGCACACAGACCCCAACCCCGACACCCATCACCACCCCCACCACGACAGCAACACCAACCCCAACACCCACCGGCACACAGACCCCAACCTCGACACCCATCACCACCACCACCACGACAGCGACACCAACCCCAACACCCACCGGCACACAGACCCCAACCCCGACACCCACCAGCACACAGACCCCAACCACTCCACCAACACCTATCACCACCACCACTACAGTGACCCCAACCCCAACACCCACCACCACCACCACCACAGAGACCCCAACCCCAACACCCACCACTACCACTACAGTGACACCAACCCCGACACCTACAACCACAGAGACCCCAACCCCAACACCTACCAACACAGCGACATGCCATCAACCCCAACACCCACTGGCACACAGACCCCAACCCCGTCACCCATCGCCACCACCACTACAGTGACCCCAACCCCAACATCTACCAGCACTCAGACCCCAACCCCAATACCCATCACCACCACCACAACAGTGACCCCAACCCCAACACCCACCAGCACACAGACCCCAACCCCGACACCCATCACCATCACCACTACGATGACGTCAACCCCAACACCTACGACTACAAGCACGGAGATCCCCAGCCCCACAAGCACAGCACCCATTTCTGAGTCAACCACATCCAAACCCCCACCTGAGTCCTCAACCCCTCAGATATCTCGGTCCACCTCTTCCCCTCCCACGGAGTCAACCACCCTTTTGAGTACTGCACCACCTACCATTGAGACGACCAGCACGGCCCCACCCTCCACACCCACGTCACCTACAGCCACCACGACGGGAGGCCACACGTCGTCTCCACCGCCCAGCACCACCTCGGCCCCTCCAGGTAAGCATAGCCGCTCAGTTCCTCCAGCTGGGATGCTTCCTCCTCCCCTTCAGCCAGGCGGGACTGTCCCAGGAAGGCTCAAGGCAGGTTCTGGGCACCTCTCTGCCCACCAAGCATGGTTACTGTGTGGGCAGGAGCTGCTGACACTGTCCAGTGATGGGCAGTGAAGCCAAAGGCCACCCCGCTGCTTGCCCATATGACGGCCTTCTTAGGAGTCACTGACACCAGCCAGTGCTGGGCAGTGGAGTCAAAGGCCACCCCGCTGCTTGCCCATATGACGGCCTTCTTAGGAGTCACTGACACCAGCCAGTGCTGGGCAGTGGAGTCAAAGGCCACCCTGCTCGCCCATAGGACAGTCTTCTTCAGGGACCCACTGCTGTGTGATGTGGTGCTGTGGGAGCCCACCAAGGCTGGGGGGCAGAGAGAGGCTGCCAGTGAGGTGCCTGCAGGTCCTCCTGCTTCTGGCTGTACCCCCTCCTCGGGGCCGCTTTCCGGCAGATGGTGTGCCACAGCCAGTGCCTTCTGGACAACTCTTGCTGGCAGTCAGCTTGGCCAGCAAGCTGTGTTGCTGCCGGAGCACCAGGTCATCTATGGGCTCTCGTGACACTCGGCTGTGGTGATGCTGGCCCTGTCGCTCCACCCTGCCTGGTGACTCAGAACCTGGGAGTTGGGCGCGAGGCCCTGGTCCTCCAGTTCTGCGACCCGGTCGGCTGTCTGGCTCCCTTGCAGCTGGGGAGTGGCAGTTGGGACCCTGCAGTGTCTGAGATGCGCAATGTCTCAGCCCTCACTGGTGTCTCCTGCTCTCACAGGCACCCCCACTCACAGTACCATGACTGGGTCATCTGCACCCACCACCCCCAGCACTGTGCAGACGACCACCACCAGCGCCTGGACCCCCACGCCGACCCCAATCTCCACACTCAGCATCATCACGACTACAGGCCTGAAGCCGTCCATCTCCACCCAGATTAAATGCTGTGTCCTGAACGACACCTTCTACGCACCAGGTGCTCAGGCTGTTCACATCCCGGGCTCGGGCGGCCGAGGCTGGTTTTGGTCCCGGCATGTACCGGTGCTCAGGCGCCGGGGCTGAGATCACTGTGGGAGAGTCTCAGGAGGCGGCAGCTGTCGAAGGTGGCTGTGTCCAGGGCATAGCTTCCCTCGGGTGGCCTCTGTGGGGACCTCTGTGCGGTCCAGCGGCTAGCCCTGCCTCTGGGCGGTGTGGTCATGGGTCTGTCTCCCTTCGCAGGTGAGGTGGTGTACAATGGCACACACAGAGACACCTGCTATTTTGTGAACTGCTCACTGAGCTGTACCTTGGAGTTCTATAACTGGTCCTGCCCATCCACGCCCTCCCCAACGCCCACGCCCTCCAAGTCGACGCCCACGTCTTCCAAGCCATCGCCCACGCCCTCCAAGCCAACGCCCAGCACCAAGCCCCCCGCATGCCCAGACTTTGATCCTCCCAGACAGGTCAGTGGGCTGCGGGTGGCTTTGTCCTCATGGCACTGAGCGCAGCATGTCCGGGCACCCAAGGCCCCAGGCACCACTTCCTGCTGGTGGTCTGAGGGCCGAGGCCTCCTGCAGCCCCTTGGGTGCGGGGTCTGCCAAGCCCTCCACCTTTTCACGGTGCCCCGCCGTGCCCCGCCGTGCCTGGCAAGGTGGCTGGCTGCAGTGAGGTCCTTGGAAGCCACCTCGGCCTCCAGCCTCCTGGCTCGGCACCCGCCCCTCCCGAGCACAGACCACCCCGTCCTGTGCCAGTCCCACTGACCACCCCTTGCCTCCTGCCCCCAGGAGAACGAGACTTGGTGGCTGTGCGACTGCTTCATGGCCACGTGCAAGTACAACAACACGGTGGAGATCGTGAAGGTGGAGTGTGAGCCGCCGCCCATGCCCACTTGCTCCAACGGCCTCACCCCCGTGCGCGTCAGCGACCCTGACGGCTGCTGCTGGCATTGGGAGTGCGACTGTGAGTCCGGGGTCCCCAGGCCCTCCCCGCATCTCCTGCCCTCTCCGTGGGTGGGGGCTGCAGGGCAGAAGGGTTGAGGCTCCTTGGGCACAGACCCCACTGCGGTGTTCACTGAGGCTGGGTGACTTCTGAGGGTCTCCTCAGCCCTGCTTTTGCCTCATTGGCGGGGAGGGTCTGGGCAGGTGGAGGGCTTGCCTGGTGGAGTTAGGGCCCCTCCCTGGGACAAGGGTGCTTCTGAGGCGAGAGGGGGCCGAGTTGAGGTTTGAACCCTGGTCCGTCCTGCAGAATGGGCTGCTGTGGGTGCGCCAGGGCCAGTGCAGCTCAGATGTCCCCGAGCCCACGCACAGGAGCGGGGTTTTCAGGCCCCAGCTTCCTGCTGGCTCTTCCCGACTGCGCCCCGGCCCAGCTCTTGCACCCGACCCCGGCTGAGGGGCACAGGCGGCACGGCTCACTCTGGCTCCCTCGCAGGCTACTGCACGGGCTGGGGGGACCCGCACTATGTCACCTTCGACGGACTGTACTACAGCTACCAGGGCAACTGCACCTACGTGCTGGTGGAGGAGATCAGCCCGTCCGTGGACAACTTCGGAGTTTACATCGATAACTACCACTGTGACCCCAACGACAAGGTGTCCTGCCCCCGCACCCTCATCGTGCGCCATGAGACCCAGGAGGTGCTGATCAAGACCGTGCACATGATGCCTATGGAGGTTCAGGTAGGCACAGCGTGGCTGCAGGAGGCTGGCACGGAGGTGGGCGCTGACATGGGCCCCAATGAACCCCGGTTCCCCAGGGACCAGAGGACTGGGCTGCGGGGGTGCCCAGGCACAGCCTCTCCCAGAGCCAGGCTGGAAGGTGGGATGGGGTGGGCGCCCGGCTCCAGAACCCATCAGCTCTGCCCTCCAGGTGCATCCTGGGCCCCTCAAGCCCTGGCACACATGCCACACTGGGCACAGTCTCTACAGCAGAAGCTGCCTCCTGAGGACAGAGTCAGGGACAGGGCTCTGCACACCCTTGACTGAGACGCCCCTAGTTGCAAAGGAATTATTGGTTCTGAGGCTCAGGAGGCCCTGGGAGCCTGTGCGGGATTCCACAGTCCCCAGGTGCTCCCAGGAGAGCTCCTTCACTGGCTCACCCATGGGACCGGGGTCTGGTTAGGAGCAGCGGAGTAGGAGCAAGAAAGGGGGCAGAAAAGGGGGGTAGGCAGGGGCCTCTCCCTGCATGTGTAGGTCGGAGAACAGGCGGGGTGGGGCAGCCCTAGAGCTCTCCCAAGGAGAGGACTGAGGCAGCTCCGCGGTGTGTCGGCCGCAGGTGCAGGTGAACAGGCAGGCGGTGGCAGTGCCCTACAAGAAGTACGGGCTGGAGGTGTCCAAGTCTGGCATCAACTACGTGGTGGACATCCCTGAGCTAGGCGTCCTCGTCTCCTACAATGGCCTGTCCTTCTCCGTCAGGCTACCCTACCACCGGTTCGGCAACAACACCAAGGGCCAGTGCGGTGAGTTCCGTGGCCCCCATGGCTCCCGAGGCCCCCCAAGGCCCCCACGGCTCCCATTACCCCCCTGTCCTGCCCCAGGGCGGGCGGCTGGACCAGGCTGAGGCTGAGGCTGTGTGTAAACACCCACGGGCCTGCTGTGGGCCTCTTGCCTCTCTGCTTGGGGGTGCTGTGACCATCACCTGGGTTCAGTCCCTGTGAGGAGCCAACAGGAAGGGGCCTGGTCTCTGCCCTTGACCCCGGCTGGCCGGTCCTGGGCATCTGGGCTGGAGAAGGGCAGGGCTTGCCATGTCTGCAACATGGCCTCTCTCACTGATACAGGCACCTGCACCAACACCACCTCTGACGACTGCATTCTGCCTAGTGGGGAGATCGTCTCCAACTGTGAGGCTGCAGCCGACCAGTGGATGGTGAACGACCCCTCCAAGCCACACTGCCCCCACAGCAGCTCCACGACTAAGCGCCCGGCCGTCACTGTGCCCGGGGGCAACAAAACGACCCCACACAAGGGCTGCACCCCATCTCCCCTCTGCCAGCTCATCAAGGACAGGTGACCCTGCCTGGGCCTGCCTGCGGCCGTGACACCAACAAGCTGAGGGCCTCTGTGCCCCAGCCCCCAGCTCTTGCAAAGAGGAAGGAAGCAGTGCATGGGGCCTGGCACTGGGGCTGGGAAGGCAGGAGGCCACGGAACCAGGGCCAGGAGCTAGGTCGCCGTGGTGTCCAGGACCTGGGTCGTTGGGTTCCACAGGGCTAAGCTGCCATGTCTGGCATGCCTGTGCCTTTATTGAACTCCATAATCTCTCCCGGCTCCTGGGAAGGTGCAGGGCTGGCCGAGTGTGAGACTCAGAGTAGACCAGTCAACCCAGGACAGAGCTCAGGGCTGATATTGGGGAGGCAGATTTGGGCTTTGACAGAGGCGGGTGCTTCTAATGCTGGCAGCCATGGGGTTCAGCACCCCGTCCCTGGAAGTATAGGGGCCAAGTACAGGCTGGGGTGTCCGTCTGTCAGGGTTGTTGGAGGGGGTCCTGAAGCTGATGACCACGTAGATGTGGCTTCTATCTGGGAGCCGGGCTGCAGAGCCACCTTGCTCGCCCATCCCTTGGTCTGTCCCTGACCTGTCCCCCGGCTGGCCTGTCCCTTGACCCTCTGTCGGCCACAGACGCCTCTCTGGTGGGTGCCGGACTCCAGGAGGACAGTCCGGGCAGAGATGCTGGGGTAGGGAGTGGGGGAGAGGCAGCTGCCACCTGAGTGTGACCTGTGCCTCTCCCTGCGCAGCCTGTTTGCCCAGTGCCACGCGCTGGTGCCCCCACAGCACTACTACGACGCCTGCGTGTTCGACAGCTGCTTCGTGCCGGGCTCGAGCCTGGAGTGTGCCAGTCTGCAGGCCTACGCAGCCCTCTGCGCCCAGCAGGGCGTCTGCCTCGACTGGCGGAACCACACGCATGGGGCCTGCTGTAAGTGTCCATCTGCCCCTGCCCTGGAGCTGGGGACCTGCAGGCCAGACATGGTCTCTAGGCTCTGCCGGGTGCTGTGCCCAGCCTGAAGCTAGACCCAGGTGGGCTGTGGCCAGGGATGCAGAGATGGTGGGTGTGAGACCAGGGCTGGGGCCATGGGGTGGGGAAGGCTGAGCTGGAGGAACTGAGGTGCTGGGGGTTCTGCCAGTGTCACTAAACGCAACTGGGTGCCCACCACCTGGCTCGGGACAACCGTGAGGGCGGAGGCTGATGCCCCAGGCAGCTGGCCACCCTCCTCTGTGTGGGGGGCACTAGGCAGCTGTCACTCAAGGGGGTCCAGGCTCCTCCGCCTGACATGAGGCAGCCCTCTGACCCCTGCTCCTGTCCTGCAGTGGTGGAGTGCCCGTCTCACAGGGAGTACCAGGCCTGTGGCCCTGCAGAAGAGCCCACGTGCAAATCCAGGTATGTTGCTTGAGGGTCCACCTTGTGGGCTTGCCCTCTGCAGTGCGGAGGGTGGCATCATCTGGGCATAGCAGTCCCGCCTGCCAGCTCCCCAGCCCCACCCCACCTGTCTGACGATGCCCTCCCGCCCCCAGCTCCTCCCAGCAGAACAACACAGTCCTGGTGGAAGGTTGCTTCTGTCCTGAGGGCACCATGAACTACGCCCCTGGCTTTGATGTCTGCGTGAAGACCTGCGGTAGGCCACCCACTCACACTGTCCCCTGCTGCCTCCCTCCTGCTGCCTCCTGGGTGTCCACAGAGGCTGAGACCAGGAGGCTGACCACCCCCCACCCCTGCTCCCTGCTGCACAAGGACTCTGCTAACACAACTTGTTTCTTCCCTCTTCCTAGGCTGCGTGGGACCTGACAATGTGCCCAGAGAGGTAGGCCCCACCTTGGTGCTGGGGGATTCTCCGACAAATTCTAAATTCTGGGGAGTGAGGGATGGACATGAAAATGTAAAGCCTCAAAGATTGAGGAATGAGGTGATCTAAGTTCTGGATGGCTGAGTTGGCAGGGACATCACCCACTCACCCACCCATCCTTCCAACCACCCACTCATCCGCCTATGTACCCATCTACCGACTCACCTACCCCTCCATCCATCCTTCCACCTACCTAGTCATCACCCACTCATCTGTGCACCCACCCACCCACTCATCTACCTACACATCCACCCACCCATCCATCCATCCATCTACCCACCCAGCCAGTCAGCCACCCACCCAACCATCCTTCTGTCCCTCCATTCATCTATCTGTCCTTTCATCCTTCCACCCACCTGGCCATCCATCCATCCATCCATCCACCCATCCACCCATCCATCCACCATCCATCCATCCACCCACCATCTATCTACCATCCACCATCCATCTACCATCCACCATCCATCCATCCAACCATCCATCCAACCATCCACCCACCCATCTATCCATTCACTCACTCATCCATCCATCCACCCACCCATCCACCCATCCACCCATCCATCCATCCATCCATCCATCCATCCATCCATCCACCCATCCATCCATCCATCCATCCATTCACTCACTCATCCATCCATCCACCCACCCATCCACCCATCCACCCATCCATCCATCCATCCATCCATCCATCCATCCACCCATCCATCCATCCACCACCCGTCTACCATCCATCCATCCATCCATCCATCCACCCACCCATCCACCCATCCATCCATCCATCCACCCACCCACCCATCCATCCATCCATCCATCCATCCATCCATCCACCCATCCATCCGCCCACCCATCCATCCATCCATCCATCCATCCATCCATCCATCCATCCACCCACCCACCCATCCATCCACCCATCCATCCATCCATCCATCCATCCATCCATCCACCCACCCACCATCCATGCATCCATCCACCCACCCACC